GCTCTATATGAAGTTTTAACATTTCACGTAGCAATTTTAAGTTTTCTTCCGGGTACTCTTAGCACCCCTTGACGATTGAACGCTTGCCGGGAACTAGGGGCTATGTTTTAATTTTGACTTGTCATATTAACTATCTTGGGAATTTAATGTGATAGTTTCCCACTTGCCTTTCGCATCCTATACCGTTGACGACGGGATGTCGTTCATCCGCATTCGGCGACGATTTCTTCTCCCCAGGAGTAGAGGGTGCCCTTGCCTCATTCCTAAGAATAATGTTGAATGTTTATACCGGCAAACTTTTGGTCCTTATCTGCATCAGCGACCTAAGCTATCTACTTAAATTTTGCTCGTCTACTACCGCGTGGAGGTGCAGATTGGGGGTTTCCCTTCATTGGGATCAAGACCATAAAGGCATTTCTTGATCCAGTACTTTTAGGAGACAAAAAATGTATCTCATTTCGTATAAATACCAACAAGATGTTAAACAGGAGATAGAAAAAATGATAAAAGACCAGATTATCGAAAGATGTGATTCCTCATATATAGGTCATATAGTCAATGTGAAGAAAAGTACCGGGGATTTGAGGCTATGTCTAGATGCGGGAAATATAAATCAGCACACCATATCACAATTTAAATCACCAATAAAGGCTATTTTCAGGAGAACAACAGTGTTCTCGGACGGGACTAGTTCACGTTCGAGACGCATCGCCCCGCCCCTTATTTTTCCCGGTGGCCCCTCCCTGACCTGGAAATCCCTAATCGCTACTTCAAAAAGTATAAAAATAGGCGATTTTCAGGACAAAAAGGTCGGTCCCTCACGAGCTCTCCGAGAGATTAGTGCTCTCGGGGCTCTGCTCTTGTTTTTAGCTTTATCCATACTCTGTGGCTGAGATGTTATTCTACTGCAACCTGGTATTTTTATTTCGACTTAACCTTTGTCATGTAAGAAATATCTTGCCTTTTTCAAGGCAAGATACTAGAAGAAAACATTTGCGAGTCCATACCCTGAAAATGGACTTAAGTAGAGGAGCTATCGTTGATGTTTTCGAAGCCCTCTACAGAGCACCCGGAGGCATTAGAAGGCGTTTAGACCCTTATTATTTACCCCGAGGTGACAACAGGAACATATGTATTTTCAAAAATTGATTTGATGCAGAGCTTTTCAATTGACGGCATCATAAACCGTTTCAAGGTGGTTCCATTTGGGTTACAGAGTGCACTAGTACAATACTAAACTTGTCTTCAAAAATGCACAAAAAGTTAAACAGACCTGAAACTATGCCATTGGAGCCTTGCTCACTCAAAAACACAAAATTATTAGTAGAATCTTGTGTATCTTTCATCAATACAAAAGTAAGCATATAAACCCAAATTTGTCGAGAATAAAATACCTCACCAACTCTTAGGTTTGGAAGAGGCTGGGTTTGAAAGAAACGAGAAGGAAAAGATCATATGAAATTAGATCGATTATATAACAATTAACGAGAGGTACGGAAATTCAATCAAAATAACTAAAACACTACCTGGAGCCGATGTCTCCTCAAATCATAACTTATTAATCAGTGACATAAAACTCAAACTTAAAATAGAAAAAAGCCAACAACCGACTAACCGAATAAACACTGACTGTATTTAAAATAATAGTCATGGTTTGTCATGAAATTACACAAGATATAAAAAAGAAGTTCGAAAAATCGAAAGAAACACATAACGTCGAAGACCACTGAAATAATGTCAAAAGCATTATGCAAGAAACAACTAAAAACTATAAAACTATTAATAATCGCAATTAACAATGGATGACTGATGAAATATTGGGACCAATGGAAGACAGACGAAAACAGAAAAATAAAAACACTAGAGAATACAATAAAATTCATAAAAAAATCAGAAGGAAAATCGGGATGCAAAGGAAAAATGGTAAGGCAACAAATGTCTTGAAATAGAAGAACTGCAGAAAAATAATGATACGTTTAATATGTACAAAAAGGTGAAAGAAATGAAACATATAGATCAGCTGCAAGTAGTTTACTTGATAAACAAGGAAATATTATAGTCAATGAACCAGACAGATTCTTCTTATTCTTTAGGTACCGTCTCCTCTAAGGATGTTGGTAATCATCACAGCTATTTTCACTTTTGAGATTGCAGCTCTGAACAAGTCGACGGAACTGCAATTCTACCACTTTCTCAGATTGTTGAGCTAGGAGATGCGTCTTCTTTCAATACTTCGTTTTCCCTGTATTTTTTCCTGCATTAGGGTTTGTAGCAACACATATTTATCCCCTCTTATAACGTGGCTGAGATATTGTTATTTTTTATCTTAATCGTATTTATGATTTTCATTTCCTTTGTCATTTTTCTGAGGACCTAAACATATGTTATTCGGTCTACCCAACTCATTAAGACATATTAGAGAGATGAAAAGAATATATTAAGGAGCTAAGAAAAAAGCTGACGATAGAACAGAAATTCAAATCCAAAATATGTTGACTGGTCCAAACATAACCCTCGGTAAAATGGAAAGAGCTATAAAGCTATCAAAGAATAGGAAAGCAACCGGTCCAGATTAAATTGCAAGCAAAATAATCAAACTGCTCGACGATAAGGGTTCACTTCACAAAGTGAAACACAATCTGGTTTCAGAAATAACCTTGAAACCAGAGAAGCACTCTTCAGTTTGTAGGTCATGATTCAAAGATGTAGGAATATAGAAAAATCAGTACATATGTGTTTTATCGACTTCGAAACGGTCTTTGACCGAGTAAACCATGACAAACTTATAGGTGACTTGCAACAGGTGGGAAGTGATGACTGAGACCTTCGTATTATCAAAAATTTGTATTAGCATCAATGTGCAAACATATAAGCTGGACACAACACGACGAAAGCAGTAGAAATACGACGTGGAGTGCGGCAAGAGTATATTCTATCGCCTCTACTTTTTAATATCTACACCGAATTTATTTTCAAAGAAGCCTTAGTTGAAGATACAGGTAATAAAATCAACTGAATTAATGTCAACAATCTCAGATATGCAGACGATACGGTACTTATTACCTGCAATGAAGAAGACCTGCAATGACTTATAAACAGGGTAACCGAAGCATGGGATGAATATGGCTAAAACTTAATACTTCTAAGACAAAACTTATGGTTGTCAGCAAAACGGAGTTACAACCAAATAACATCACAGAGTAAAGAAGAGAAATAGAATTAGAAAGAGTCCACAATATAACCTACTTGGGTGCAAACTTTAACGATAACTGAAAAATAAATAACGAAATAAGAATACGCATTGAAATAGCCAGAGCCGCCTTCCATAAATTAAAGAAAATTCTAATTAATGAAGATATTACGATAAACATTAAAATCAGATTAATACGCTGTTACATATTCTCCACATTGCTCTATGATGTGGAGATCTGGAGCCTTATAGAGACATTAATGAAAAAATTAGAGGCCTTTGAGATATGGATTTATTGACGAGTATTGCGGATAAGTTGGGTTGATCGAATAAGAAATAAAATAGTTTTACATCGAATGAAAAAGAGCACAGAAATAACAGAAATGATACAAATTCGAAAGGTGCAATATTTCGGTAATGTAATGAGACACCCAGAGAGGTATGACCTTCTACACCTCATAGGGCAAGATCAGCGAAAGGAGAGGCCCAGGCCGACGAAGAACATCCTGGCTTCGAAATCTTCGAGAATGGTATCAAGAGACCATCGCTAATTTATTTAGAGTCGCCGCAAACAAAGTTATTATTGCCAATATGATCACCAACGTTAGATAATTGGACAAGGTGCTGAAAGAAGAAGAAGATTTTGTTCCATGTCAAAAGATATCTTAAATACATAAGCTTCTGTTCTTTTAAGCAGTTTATAAAATTTCTTAGCTCGTAACTTGTGCAATCTGTACTTAGTAATAAAGGAAGCTTTTTATTGAAGGTCTTTGCATTAATTTAGTTCACTTTTTGTTAGATCACAAAGGTCTGTCTTTGGACTGCCAAAACTTGCATCACCGCAAAGGCATATTGATCTTAAGACAATGGTATTAAGGACTGAATTAATTTGTGAAGGTGGATGATGAGAATTGGCATGCAAGTGACGATGGGTATGGGCCGGTTTTCGGTAAAAAGAGTGATGAAAAGCTTGGAATTGGTTTTCTTTATCATAATGTCGAAAACCGGTAGGAATGAATCAGTTTACATCTTAATCGTGAATAATCTGGATACTAGATTGGGTACCATTCAAATTAGTTTTAAAATATACTAAGACATCCTTGACGTGGGGACAAATGACAAATATATCGTTAATATATCGTATCTAGCATGCGGGTTTGAGCATTAATATGAAAAGTGCTCGGGTCTTAAAGTCTTCTCTAAAGAAATTGGCAATTACTAGAGATAGTGGGGAGCCTATTGAGGTACCATTTGTTTGTCTGTAGAATTGATATTTTAAAGATAAAATAAATGTTGAATATACGATATTTATTGAGAGATAAGTGGTCTTGCTAGAAACTGTATTTAGTTTTCCAGAATATTTAGTGTTTCGTCTAAAGGAATGTTTGTAAAGAGTGAAACTATGTCAAAACTTACTAGAACGTCTGACGATGAAATAGGGTATTGTTTAAGCTCAAATTGTTTTCTGTTCCATGTTTCTACTGCAAGATGCTTGTTATCTCTAATAACTAGTCGCATAACCAGCCGGATAACTAGTCCTAGTCTAAATTTCTGTAAGCACAAGCAGATACGTACTTAACAGACATCACAAATAACGTCTCTGCATCTTTAAAATTGAACCTAAGTGATAAATATGGCTTTTTGTGTATTTTGATGAGAAAGACAGTATTTTTTAATAATAATATGGCACTTCTCAATAAATCTATATTTACAGTAGCCAAAATACTAGACACAATTTGTAAGTCACTTTATTATTTACCCTATTTTAAACTATAGTCTATACTGTTAAATAATCGTACCCATGTTTTAGGGCACCACAGGTATGCCAAAAGCCCCTGTACAGAGTCACTTCAATATTGTTAATAATGGATACTTCTGTGGCAAACGCATAGGGCTGCATCACAAACACCATACAATCTGCTTGCAAAATCCATTATTTCACGTATTTGGGACTATAGCTACACTAAGTGCAGCTGTTGGTCACGGTGCTACAATCGTTCTACCCAACGACGCATACAATCCAGAGAAAAATTTAAATGCTATTGTACAAGAAAGGTGAGTTAAATTTAAGTTGTATTAAAACAATGATGTAAAGGCCAAAGAGCGTAACCCTCAAAAACTGTAAATTTAGACTTTTGTTTTTGAATAAACTTTTTTGTTCTGAAAGACTATCGTTAGATCGATAGATAGATAGAGGTGTTGTAGTGTCATGTGAAAGTTAACATAAAAAAGAACGAAATACGATGATTCTTAAAACAAAAATTGTTCTCTTATCTAGATTTCGCAAAATTTATTCGCTTCTTCAGAATATGCTAAAATATGATTATAATTATTTATCAAATATCAAAAAATACAATGAAATTAGAATTAAAAAACATTTTATTAAACTAGCATAAAAACTTGTAGTTGATGACATGGAAAAACTATATTGAAGAACTCTTTGCAGATGATAGACAACAATCTGAGCTAAGTAACATACAAGGAGACGAAGGTCCAGAAATAACGGAAGATAAAGTAATGTACGCACTAAAAAGAATGAAAAATGGTAAAGCTCCAGGTCCAGATGATATACCAACGGAAATCCTTAAACTAATAGAAAAAGACTCGATTCACATTTTAGTTGAACTTTTCAATAGCATTTATACATCAGAAAAAATACCACAAAAATGGCTTTTATTCACCTTTGTTATTATACCAAAAAAGATAAATTCCAAACAATGTAGTGATTACCATACAATCAGTCTGATGAGCCATGCACTGAAAATATTCCTGAAAATTATACACTCTAGAGTACACAGAAAACTGGAAATGGACATCAATAATACCCAGTTTGGATTCCGAAATGGACTCGGAACAAGAGAGGCGTTGTTTGCACTAAACTTTATGTCTCAAAGATGTCTTGACATAAATCAAGATGTATTCATATGTTTCATGGATTACAACAAGGCCTTTGATAAAGTACGGCATGATCACCTAATTAGACTCCTGACAGTAAAAGAATTTAGAGAAACGAGACATTCGACTAATAATAAATATGTACTACAATCAGAAAGCAGTAGAGAGAGTAGAGAATAATACCACTGAAGAAATTGAACTAAAGCGAGGTGTGAGACAAGGGTGTATACTGTCACCAACTCTGTTTAATCTCTATTCCGAAGACGTAATGAATAGAACACCCTCTGAGCCATCCGTAGGTATTAAAATAAATGGTGTTAGATTAAACAATCTGAGATTTGCCGACGACACCGTTCAAATCGCAGAAACACTTGAAGAGCTACAGACATTGGTGAATAAGATAGCAGACTGCAGCGAAGAATATGGACTATCTTTGAACATAAAGAAAACTAAATTTATGGTAATATCGAAATCAACACAAAATGTCCAAAATTTATATTTACACAATGAAATTATTGATCGAGTTAGCAAATACAAATATATAGGCACTTTTATAAATGAAGACAACGATAGCTCAGCGGAAATCAAAATAAGAATAAAAAAAGTCAGATCCATATTCACTAAAATAAATATGAGTGTTATGCGGAAGAGATTTGAGCCTTGAAATGAAACTTCGCCTGATGAGATGTTACGTACTTTCTCTGCTGTTCTACGGAATGGAGTCATGGACGTTGAAAAAGATTGATATTAAAAATTAGAGGGATATTATTTGAACTGTGGATGTATCGCAGAATCCTGAGAATATCATGGACCGAGAGAGTCGCAAATGTCGAGGTCTTGAGAAGAATGAATAAAGAAAAGGAAGTCATATTTACGATCAAAAAACGAAAACTGCAATACTTGGGACACATTACAAAAGGCGAAAGATATGAACTGCTTCGAATAATTATGCAAGGAAAAATAGCAGGAAAAAGGTCCATAGGAAGAAGACGAAACTCCTGGCTAAAGAATCTACGGGAATGGTATAGCTGTAGCAACAACGAATTGTTTCGGTCAGCAGTTTCGAAAATACGTATAGCCCTGATGATCGCCAACCTTTGGAACGAAGATGGCACTTGAAGAAGAAAAACTTGTAACATGTGGTTAACCCATTAAATTTTGAAATTCACAAAACATTAAACTTAACTTATTTAAAATATATATGCAATTACAACATTTTAATTTTATTTAATTTTGTAGGAATCATGATTGATAATATTTATTATTTTGATGTTTGATTTATGTCAGAAAGACCCTCGTTTATATATTTTTTTTTGTTGATAACTAGGTTTCGATTGTTATATGGTTGCATACAAAGTGGCGCTAAATGTGGATATTTCAATGTTTTTGAATTTAGTAAGAAAATTTATTATTAGGAAAGTCTAGTATTAATTTTCGTAAGGCAGACTGTAATTATAGATATTGCTTCGTTTATCAATATCAGTTTTTTTATTAACGCATTGATATTTAGTTATACATACCATTTCTAAGAATACTATTTTATTTAATTGGTTTTCACGTCTTAATATCTTAGTTTCATTGAAATTAAATGAATGATTCTTATTAGCTGCATGATCTATTAACGCACACGTATTTTTATTATTTCTAAGGTCACTTTTATGTGATGTTAGTCTGTCTATTAGATTTCTAGATGTGTGTCCGATGTTTGACTTATCACAATTTTCTGGTATTCTATAAACTACATTTGAGCTTTCCATAAAGCTAATAGGTGATTTAGTTTTTGTATACAATGATGCTAATGTTTTAATATTTTTAGTTGCAATTTTAATCTAGAATAGTTAGCGAAGACTTTAGTTAATTTGGATGTAAAAAGTTCACATTAAAATTGCAAATAAAAATATTAAAACATTGCATCAAAGCATCATTGTATACAAAAACTAAATCACCTTATTAGTATTATGGAAAGCTCAAATAGTAGTTTATAGAATACCATGAGAATATTGTAATAAGTCATACATCGGACACACGTCTAGTTTAATTTTGATGAAACTAAGATATTAAGACGTAAAAACCAATTAAATAAAAGATAATTCTTAGAAATGGTATGCATAAATAAATATCAATGCGTTAATAAAAAAACTGATATTGATAAACTAAGCAATATCTATCTTTACATTCTGTCTTACGAAAACTAAAACTATAATTCCTTAATATTAAATTTCCTTATCAAACCATATAACAATCGAGAACTAGTTATCAACAACAAAATATAATTAACAGAAACTAGTGTCTTTTTAACATAAATCAAACATCAAAATAATAATTATTTTCAATCATGATTCCTACAAAATTAAATAAAATTAAAATATTGTAATTTTTTTTAATGAGATTAATGCGTCGACATCTAATGGTCATTGGCATGGTGTAGTGAATTTTTACAGTCAGGTACCTAGTGTAGTCTGTGTGATTTACTGATAAAATAATTATAACCATATTTTAGCATATTCTGAAGAAGCGAATAATTTTTACTAAAGCTAGATAAAAGAACAAAGAGTTTTACTTATCCTTGCGGGATAGATGTCCAAGGTTTAAATATATAACAATGAAATATCAATAATGAACTCTCTGCTAAAATACACATAAAACCGTACAACAGAGTTAATAGGGAGGATTTCAAACCTCAACCTGTAGTTGACAATTAGTTCTTAAATATTATTAAGTATTATTTAAAACAAATTTTGGGACTTTATTAGTAAATGAAATATTAGGATTTATAAAGTTAAAAAAATACTGTAAAAAAGATTATTAAAATTAATGAAACAATCTGAAGATATAGACGAGACAAAAGCTCTCTTTCATAACTGCATTATTGTATCTGCTAAAAATCATGTAAAAAAATAACAATATACACCTATAAAAAAGCAGTACCATGGTGGAATTCAGAATGTGAACTAACTGTACGTCAATGCAAAATGGCTCTCAACAGATATCGAAAAAGAAGAACTCAAGAAAACCTGAACTATTTCAAAAAACTAAGAGCCAAAGCGAAAAATGTCCTTAAAAAAAGAAAAAAAGATTCCTGGCAAAATTTTGTTTTTACAATTACTAATGATACTCCACCATCTCAAGTTTGGTCAAAAAAAAAAACAAATGAAAGTTCATAAAACTCCTCCAAAAATTCCAGCAATATCACTGAATGGAAAAGTTATAACAGATAACCAAACAATTATCTCAACCAAACAGCTCAAATCATGGCTGAACGTTTTGCATGTAAATTTAGGTCTGAAGTCGAACAAATTGAACCTTCCTCTTACAAAAGAAGAATTAGCACTAGCACTATCCTCTTGTACAACTCCGCCGCTAAAACAGACAATATCCCAATTATATACATCAAAAATTTATCTCATTCCAGCCTCGCAACACTGTTAAATCTTTATAACAAGATATGGTATACTCAGCAATTACCCAAACTGTGGAATGAATCAATTATCATACCAATAAAAAATCACCAGTTCATTATGTAAACTGTTTGAGAAAATGATTAATTCAAGATTAACATGGCTTCTCTAAAAATATGCAATAATTGACGCAGCGCAATCCGGTTTCAGACGCCACCGTTCAACCCTTGACAACATAGTGCTATTACAAATACAAATACCTTCCGCTATTTCAAACAAACAAGATCTTATCGCTACTGTCTTTAATATGGAAGCATTCGATACTATCTCGCGAAAAGCTATTCTTGAAAACCTTCGTCAATAGAAGAGAATAGGAAATATTTCTTCTTCTTCTTCAAGTGCCGTATTCGTTCCGAAGTTTGGCTATCATCAAAGCTATGCGTATTTTTGATGCTGCAGATCTAAACAGTTGGTAATTGGTGCAATTGTACCATTCTCTCAAGTTTTTCAACCATGAATGCCTTCTTCTTCCTATAGATCTCTTTCCCATTATCTTTCCCTGTATAATCAATTGCAGCAACTGGTATTTATCTCCCCTTATAACATGTCCCAAATATTGTAGTTTGCGCTTTTTAACAGTAAGTATCAGCTCTTTCTCTTTCCGCACTCTTCGCAAAACCTCCACATTTGTTACTTTATAGGAAATATTTACTCCTTCATAAAAAACCTTTTACAACAAAGAACGTTCAAAGTGAAAACAAA